TCTCATCTATGTTTTTTTGAAACTGCAGGTTTTTACAACGATCCTGCCAATGTCTTGATCTGTTTGCAATTTGTTTGTACATATTCAATAAACCATTTCCATTCCTTTGTAAGAAGTTTGTTGTCTTGATTTCTTATTCCTCTGGTAAGTTTCTCCATTTCTGCATATTCCATTAATTTCTGTAGCCATTCTTCTCTGCCCTCTGGAGTAGATTTTGGGGCTATGCAGGGGCTACAGTGGGGAGAGAAGGATGGAGAAGCCCCATTGCTCTCATTGATGTCTGCTTGTGCTACATTGGATCTTGCTGTGTTTGGATAGGAATTTGTTTCTCTGCAGCCATGAATGCATGGAGAAAGGGGCAGAAAGACTTGTGCATGTTGACATTCCTAAAAGAGCCTTCACATGTAGCACTGTGTGTTCAAAGGTCTCTCTCCACATGACTGAGAACTAGCTTTTCTTCCTATGCAAAATAGATTAAGAGGCAGTGATGCAGCTAGGTAATGTTTGATTCTGGATTTAATAGTCTTATGGCCCCTGTCCTTCTCTAGATGATAACATATATTCCTTCACTGACTTCAGAATGCAGTATGCCCAATGGGGAGAAATATGTGAGAGGGGAGAAATTCAGTTTGCATTTAAAGGTCAACCTACGTAACTTGCACTCTCCAAAACAATTAGACAACCGAAACACAGACATCTTTTGAATTTTGCACGTCTCCTGCCAAGTACCACAAACAAAAATACATATACTAGGGTAAATTGTACATAAAAATGCATGTGCTCATGAACATGACATACAGAAATGCATCATTTTAGGAAATGTGTATATTCGGCAAAAGTGCATTAAGATGTGTAGATTAGGAGGAATTCGTGATAAAATGCTGACAAATTTTCACGAGGACTTAAAAAAAACCACCCACAAGCTAATATGGAAAGCTGAACTTAAAACTGGAAAAATACAAAAGAGAGAAATTGAAATTGACATACACACCCATCCTTGCAGGATGGGCCCCATCCTGCTCGCTTGCCTCAAAGTCCTGCCCTGATGGTACCTCTGTTTGCAGCAGCCAAAGGTTTTAAATCCTTTGCTAAGCTGCTCTCTCTCTCTCTTTTTTTTTTTGGCGATGTTTACTCATATTTCACAGCTGTTCTGACATCCGCTTGTACAGGAGGCACTTGGTGTGTTAAGTGCTGTAATAGATCGACAAACTACATGCTCCTGTCTCCAACCGGGGTGGACTCCTTCTCCCCTCAGCCGTGACCTTGAGTAAGGGGACAAGTTGCTAAATTCCCATGTAGCTGTTATTTCGGCTGGTGAGCCATATGGCCTTTCTAACAGCAGAGGCTCAACCTGTCAAGATTCAGCCCATTCAGAAGGCAAGGCAAGGGACCTGGGATAAGAAAGAAGCAAGAGAAATTGCCGTTCCGTAGCACCATGCTCACAGTGGGATTCATTATTTCAGTGGGGGTGGGAATTAACCTTCTCTCTGCCCCTTGAAGTCTTGCGTCAGCATTTTCTGGATCAATCTTTTACAATGATAACAGTGAGTGAACACCAGGTGCGTGTAAAATGAGGGCAAATTTGTGTTTTTTAAAAAAGGACCATTCTGTGTAATAAGGAACTAATGCACACGTGTCTCTAGCCAAGTCCTTGGTAAAAGCTCCCCCCCCACACACCTATAATCCTTACTATAGCAAAACTGGAACGTATTAAAGGAATAAAAATGATCTGTTTGTAGGTGCCTTTCTTTCGTAGGTGAATGAAGCATTGTTTAAAATGTGGCTGATTTTGTTGGCCACAAGTGATGGAAAACACAGCTGTTATCATGTTCTTTCTCATGCTGTTTTGTTCAAGTGTAAAGTGCTATTGGATAGGCGGGCAGGGAATTGGGTTAGGGGACCCATTTTTCCACCCTGCACAGATGATAATTGCATAATGAGACTAGGCTATTAAGTTCATTCAGTGCAAGTATTGTGGGGCTGATTGAGCTTTATTTACCGTATTTTTCGCACCATAGGACGCACTTTTTCTCTCCTAAAAAGCAAGGGAAAATGTGTGTGCGTCCTATGGAGCGAATGCAGGGGGGAGGCAGTCGGGAAAAGCCCCCAAGAGCCGCACACAAGCTCCGTGCGCTCTTGCGGGCTTTTCCCCAGGAGGGAGAAGGGACTGACTAGCCGCATCAGTTGCTTCTCCCACCTCCCAGAAAAGCCAGGAGAAGCCGCAATCTCTTTAAAGGGGTTGTGCGGCTTCTGCGGGCTTTTGCGAGAGGTGAGGGAATCCCCCCACCTCCCAGGAAAGCCAGAAGAAGCCATGCAGCCCTTTTAAAGTGTGTGCGGCTTCTGCCGGTTTTGCGAAAGGTGAGGGAATCCCCCCACCTCCCAGAAAAGCCAGGAAAGCCCTGCGCAGCATCTCCCGGCAAGGAGAGGCTGCACGGGGCTATGGATTCTTTAGCCCCACGCAGCCTCTCCCGGGAGGGAGAGGATGCACGGGGCTAAAGGGGAAGCCAAAACAGCGAGCGGGATCCATCCCGCTCACTGCCTTGGCTTGCTCCATAGCTGCACGCAGCCCCTCCGGCAAGGAGAGGCTGCACGGGGCTAAAGGGGAAGCCAAAACAGTGAGCGGGATCCATCCCGCTCGCTGCCTTGGCTTCTTCCATAGCCCCGCTCAACCCCTCCGGCAGGGAGAGGTTGTGCGCAGCCTGTATGCTGCTCTTTGGGGCTGGGGGGGATTTTTTTTTTCTTGATTCCCCCCCCTAAAAACTGGGTGCGCCCTATGGTCCGGTGCGCCCTATGGTGCGAAAAATACGGTATATATAGGCACTGTTTTCTGTTCTGCCCAGTATTTTCCACATGCAGCACTGTTTCTCTTTTGCTGCAGTTCATCTTCTGCCAAAAACTACATTATTCACCTCACCTTCTGCCATGGCAAAATTATGCAGCTGATGTTTATTCCTGCAACTAATTACATAAATTAGATTTTCCCATTTCCACAATGCCAATGGGGAAATAAAACATAATTAATTACGTAGCATTTGCAGCCTGAAAGCAGCAACAGCAAAGATTGTAATTGTTGCATTGTTTTCCATTGCATACCTGGGATGAATAAGTGATCATTGGTGATTTCCAGTCCCACATTGGTTGGAATTCTCACCTCCCTACATCTAAAGGTGCACATCCTAGTCAACCTATTTTGATATTTGCAGCAGAAATGCCCATGAGCACATCTTCTTGAAGTAAAAATAAATAGCTTGTCATGAAATCAGCTGCATAAGACAACCACCTCACTCACTTTAATGGTAGGGTGTGTGTGTGTGTGTGTGTGTGTGTGTGTGTGTGTAATTTAAACCCTCTTCAATCTAGGAAGCAAACTACTTTAGGAGTGTCACTGATTCTTACTGTGGCTTATGGAGTTTCATCTTGCCAGAGTTAAGATGCATTTTCAGTTCATATGAAAACAGTGCAATTGCCAGGAAGGGTGAAGATTCGGCATGAGAGCACTGCTCAGGTAGGTAGGAGCATGGAAGGAAGTTGTGCCCATTCATTGTGGTGCCATTGACTGGTCTATTGAATGAGCTCTCTCCTTCCTCTTCTGATGGTAGGAGGAAAGAATGAGTCAATTCCAGCAGGGGAAGCTATGTGTTCCTGTGGGATGACTCATGGTAGAGTCAGACTTGACATTAATTTCACTAATTACTGCTGTTGTCACATAACTAGCATGGAGACATGAGGATGCCATCTTTATGGCCCATCCAACTATTATTATTTTAGATCATGTAAGCAATGCACCTCAAGCACCTTATCCTTGAGGGTTAAAGGTCTTCCTTGGAGGCAGGCATTCATTGCGGAGGAAATAATGAAGGAAAAACAAGGGATCTAAGCTTCAATTAGTTTAAACTGGTAGATTAATGATCTAAATCCTTAGTGGAGTAAAAGTTGATTTTCCTTCACAATTTTCACTGCAAGGGAAAATTTTAATTGGTGAGGTTGAGAGCGAAGAGCACATTTGTTTATACTTTGAGGCTAAAATTGGTTCTGCAGTGCCCCTGGAACAGCAAATGGAAAAAAAGAGAGGGAAAATAATGCAAAAGTTTAAAGATAGCCATTCCTCCCCACAACCCTTGAGTGGTAACTTTTGTTTATTAAATTGTTAAGTTATCTCACACAACTTTCTTCTGAAAAACACATCTATATTAAGGTGATGGTAATATGGAAATGTATTTAAATTTAATCAGTTAATTAACCAATTAATTGGTTTAAAAGCATATGATTAATCAACTAGAATTATTTAATCAGTTGACAGCCCTAGAGTAAAGTGATAGGAGCTGTTCTGTGGCAGAGTTGCAGGCATCTGAACGAGGGGAGGAGGACAAGGCTAAGGAAGCTGCAGTCATGGGCTTGTGTGTGTGTGTTTTTTTATTGTATCTGGGACATGTATTTAAAAACGAGTTTGAGTGGGGGAGATGTGTAAACTCTGGATGTGGAACTACCATATCCTTGGATCTGGGCAATTTTTTAAGCCGCTCAAGGGCAGGGTAAGATGGTTTGAGCAAAAACAATGTTACCTGATTTACAGACTTCCTGGACTTGCTAACAGAAGCATGATAACATGGCGCTCGCTACACATTTCAGGTCAGACCACCAGTGCCAGGCATTACTGTACTGGTGTTTAGACTGGTAAAGTATATTTTCCCATTCAGATTGCCTGATGAAACTGGAAAGACTGGGACAGAGCAGGCAGAGCAGGCAAAGGTGCAAAGTCAGGCTCCTAATAAAGATGCTACATTTAATCCCTGGCATCTTCAGTCATGGCTGTGAGATATCCCTGTCTGAAATCTACAAGAACTGTTGCCAGTCAGTGTCCACAAACCTAAGCCAGGTGGGTCAATAGTATGACTCAGTGTAAGCAGCTTCCTATGTGGCTCCATTCCTTGGGCTCCAACCATTCATTATAAACAGCTCGCTTGGTTAACTGCACAGCCTCGTATTCACTCATAGGGGAAGTTCTTTAGCTCAGTGGTAGAGCACCAGTTTTGCACGCAGAAAGTCCCAGGTTCAGTCTCTGGCATCTACAGGTAGGGGAGCCAGTCAGTGCACAGCTGCTGCCAGTCATGGTGACCTCCAGATATTGGACTACAACTCCCATCATCCCAGATGTTGGCTGGGGCTGATGGGAGCTAGAGCCCAACAACATTTGCAGGGCACCATGTTGGCCACCCCGGTGGAGACAAGACTGAGCTGGATGGATTGGTCTGAGTCATCCTCAGCCCACCAGTTCCAAGTTCAAGTCCTGGAGTCCATGACAAAACGAACGTAGTAGTTTAAGAAGCAGCTTAACGGTCAGCGTGTCAGGTGGTAGGTGCTCACAAACAAAGGACATCGCCATAAGTAGTTACGACAACAATAGTTGCCAGGCTTTATAATTATTATAATTTTGCTATAATTATACGAGTTGCTGGATTTCTTGGATGCAGAGCTTTCCTCAGGGTGCCTAATGAAGGTGCATCTCCCCAGACCCTTTTATTCCTCGCATTGTTGTCTTCCCCTCCTCACAGCTGTTGTTCTAAAACGTTAAGTTCTAGGTCTCTCTCACTGTCTGTTTCCTCACAGCTACATCGTGCAATTACTCCTCCCTCCTCATTTTCCCCTTGCAACGTGAGTTGGCTCCCACAGACGGGCCTATCTAACTAACCCTTGAGAACAAAGCACTAAGGACAGACAATGCAAGACCCTGAATTTGAGGGAGAGAAGGCTCAAAGCAGGGCCTTCATCCAATTCCTCAGAGAGCGGTTTTATTATTTTTTTTTTAAGGAAGGGAAAGGAAAACAGTAAGCACTGAATGTATGTATGTGTGTGTGTGTACACACACACACACACACATATACATGTCCACGTCCCTAATTTGCATGGCTTTAATGCTAACACCTATAACAGCTTAGTTGTCAGGGAAATATATCCCCCTAGTGCAGAATAGCTTGTTAGAGATATGCATTTAAACTGGGGGTAGGAGGGAGGGAGAGAGCGAGAACCCTACAGCTGAAATTGATAATACATCCCTCACTCAAAACATTGTCTCCCAATCACCATGGTTACTGCCAGGTTTTCCGCAATGGCCCAGCATATTCATCTGTCAAGTATGCTAATGGAGAATGGACCCTGTCACACAAAGGAGCAGGCTATTCAAACACACACTTGGCAAATAATTGTACATGTCAAAAGAAAGATGCTTGTTATTTGCCTAATATTATCCCCCAGAAGTGCGAAATAGTTCAGCTCTCAATGCAAAATGGCTTGCCCTTATCAACTTGGCAATTTGCTAATAATTTAGACTATTACGTATCTTGGGGTGGCCAGGCAGAGAAGGAGTGGGGGGGGGGAGGTTTGGCACGATAAGTGGCCTTTTATAATTTTGCTGAAAAGCAAACAGGGGCATTGAGAGCACTGGAGGTTGTTGTAACAAGGAGCATCATGGGACGTGCTGCAGCCAATCAGTAGGATTGCTAATGGAACCCCATTTCACCTCTGTCAGGTAGCTCTTGATGGGTGGTTAATTATAATTTAGAAGAAACAGTTTTCTCAACTGCATTTTTATTGCTATTTGTCTTCATGATGGGCCAATTTCCAATTTGTCTATTTCGGTAATTAAGTCAAAGAAAAATGTTCTCGCTGAATTCCTCTATGTTTCTAAGCTCCTGGTGCTAGCAGCTGGAGGTGCCAAGGCTATTCTTCCTTCCTTCCTTCCTTTCCCGGAATTGTTTTGCTTTCAAGGTAACGGAGCAACATTTCCCTCTCCCATTTTCTCTTGGGATATTCATCTCAAACCACCTTAGGGAAGGAAAGGAGGGTGGAAACCCAGATGGCTCATGCAGCATAGGTGGTAACTGTCCAGGTCTCCTGTTGGATCGCACAGAGGCTGGCACTGGGCGAGACAGCTCTCTTCCAAAGTTTCCCTGTTCTCCTCTCCAATGCACCATGAGCCTCGCTTGCAGCACCCCTTGTTATTCAAATTCCATTTGCAAACCGCAAATCTGCCAGGGTTCATGAGTGTCTCCCTGCAGCTCTGCCTGCTATGTCGGTTCCTTCCCACCCCCCTGCTGCTCTGCCAAATCATCTCAATCACAACCCGAAGCACCTACTTCTCTTTTAATCCTGCATCACACCTGTATCCCAATACCTAAAAAATAAATAAATACCCACACCAGTCCCTATTCTGTTGATCCACTTTCCATCTTTCATTCTGCCAGTGCAGCTCCCTGCGGCAAGCCCTGCATCTTTCGATCTGTTTTGCTTTTGAACAGACACCCCCCCCCACTAGGAAGAATATAACTGTGTGGGGGTAGATTTAACACCAGTAGGAGAGGGCTGAGAGACTCGCAAGAGAACCAGGGTGTCTGCACCTCTTCACAAAGGTAACGTTTTTATGTTTGTGAAAAGGAGGCAGGTAGACAAGACCCATATGGGTCTGGATTGGCCCCATTTAAGTGCCTGCCCTATCCTTAGTCATAGGAACTGCACCCTTCTCCCTGTCCCTGTGATAGCATTAGGAACAGGACTCTACCAGATAGCCACTAACATTTTTAGGTTAACTGGATGAAATGTTTCGGGATGGATGTGTGTTTGTGTGTGTGTGTGTGTGTGTGTGTGTGTGTGAGAGAGAGAGAGAGAGAGAGAGAGAGAGAGAGAGATGGGATACCTTTAAGAATCTCAGTGGCCTTTGGAGCCTGGTTGTATGCTCAGCTTTACTGCTCCTTCAGCACCATTTCCCCACTGCCCAGTTTCGTTAGGACTTCTTTCTCTTTTATTATTACTTACTAGTTTATATCTTGCTTAATGTCAGAATAGGCTCCTTCACTATATGATCCGGGCCAAACAGAACTCTCAGCGTCATCAAAAAAACTATGGCTCCCAGAGTTCTTTGGGAGAAGCCATGACTGTTTAAAATGGTATGATGTGGCTTTAATAGTATAATGCAGGTGGGGCCTCTGGATACGTGTTCAGGTAGTAGGAGGAAACACATCCTGAATGTCACGGGCCTCTTGTTGTTACTATGGGCTTTTCAACAATTAGATTTCTTCTGCTCTTTCCAAGCATGGCCCGTGCTTTAAACTTCAGTGTCTGAGTGCCCTGAAGCTTTCCCCATGGAAACCCGCTCTTTAAAGCTCAATTGGAGCAGATGACAATCCACACCCAAATTGATGTTAGCTCCAATTGAGAGCTAAAGCGTAGGTTTTCATGGGGGGAAACTACACAGGGGTGGGGTGGGGAATAAAACACACAAATGCTTGGACACTGAGTTTTAAAACATGGACCTGTGCCTGGAAAGAGGGGGCAAAAGATAAGTGTAGATAAGCTTGATGGGTCACCTTGCCATCATCACAGCACCACAAGACCTGGAGGATTGGCCTAGTTGCCTCAGCAACAAGGATGGATTCTCTCCTCCTGAGACCCACACTGCTGGCCCTGTGTGAACACTCATGCCTCTGAAAAATGGGCAAAGGAGTATTCATAAGATGCACCTCCTGTTTCAGCTGATCTCTGATTCAGAGGTGACCTTGTGATTGACATGACCAAGTGTGGGTTGGAGAGAGGCTTCTGGCGGAGGAGTCCAGGCTGCCAAGCAGGTGGAATTGGGATAACAGCTTGGTAGGGATTCCCTCTTTGCTTTTAGTTAGATTGCCAAGTGAATTAAATTAAAACAGCTGATTGGATTACCCTGATATCATGGAGGCATTCACATTTTATCGCTCCTGTTGTGGGAGGACTGTTTTGCATACTGAGTCCGGAAGACTCTCTCCTACAGCTTTTGAATCTTATTTGACATCTGCTGGAGGTTCATCTCAGTTGTTTGGGTAGGGTTTGTGGGGCTGATTCTCCCCACCCCACTTAGTCACCCATACCCTTTTGGGGAATTAAAAAATATATCTTCGCATTCATCTTTTAACATTTTTAGCACTAGCTGTGCTTTTTGAAGTCTAAAAAATTTGCATAAATATTAAAGGAAAGAAAGCATTCCCCACCCCCTCTGGAGCTAATGGGGCAGTTTATGAAGTGATTATTCTCTCCCCTCCCTTTATCAAAAAATATGGGGTGATTTGAGGGCTGTGTATCTGCAGGGAAGATGGGGCAAAGTGGAGGTTTGGACTTCTCATATAATTTGGTGGGTATATCTGTACATATACCTTCACAACTCAAACACAACTCCCCTCGCTATCCTGGCAAATATTAGTCTAAACTCTACACAGGTGTCACAAACCACATTCCACAGACACCCCTCCTAAGCAGAAAGGCATTGGCTCAGTGGTTGAGCATCAATTTTGTATGCAGAAGGTCTCAGGTTCAATTCCTAGCGTTTCCTGTGAGAAACTCTGGGGAGCTGCTGCCAGTCAGGCAATAGCCAATCTGGTCCAGCATCTTGTTCTGACAGTAGCTATCTGAAGGAGGTTCCAGCATTCCTGTACCACAGAATCCAGCGGGCCGATTCTCCAGCACGTGGTACTACAACAAGTCTATCTGACTGAGGAGGCTAAGCTACAACTCTCAATGAGCCAACTCCAGTTCCCCTCCTCCGCCTCACCCCACTCACCCTTGCATTTTGCTTATATGGTGTTTTATATCTGCCTCCCTCGCCATCATTTTGGATACACTCTGTCTGGCTTAAATGGCATGTGTGTGTTTTAAACTTTGAATCTCTATGAAGAAGTTTGGGCCCCACGATTCTGCTTGGATCACTTTGGGGCAGCCTTGAAGGGCCCCCACTTTGTTCTGAACATGCCCCCTACCTCACCTCAGATTTGGATAAAGTGGTCACACAGCCTTAGCGATACTCCCCACTCCCTCTCTGACTTCTCTGCTTGACAGTAACTCCAGAATGTGAGGTCATCCGGAGGTCTTGAGAACACTTCATCTTCCTTGGATTCCATTTTACGGTCGGCACTATTACTGAGATAATGGATGTGAAGTGCGGCAAATACCCCAAATGCACTATATAAATGCTAAGTATTATTTACCAGGCTGCTATAGCCATCACACAGAAAGAAAGCCTCAGTATGGGGTCCTCATTTCTTTATGAGAAAGGCTCCTTGCTGTTTTGTGTTGCTACTAGCACCCCCCACCCCCGTTGCCTCTTCTGATCCCAAAGACCTCACTGTCAGAACATACTGCTGTATGCAGGGAATGGAGCAGTTGTTTCTAAACTTCATAGCTTCAGGGAATCCCTGTGTGCAGCAAAGGATTCTGGAAAGCAGTTTAGGATAGATGACATCAGAGGTATCCAACAGGGTGTGGTTTGGATGTTGCCGGACTGTATCATCGATTCGTTGGTGGATTTTTAAAATTTCTATACTGCTTAATATATATAACTAAGCAGTGTCCAGAAAACTGAAGCAACCACAGACAATTTAAACAAAATATTACAAAAATATACAGTTACATGTTTCATCAATACAAAGTTACTAATACATAGAAATCAGTATTAATTTATTTTCCTTCTAACACAACCCTCCCTCTGAGCCTCTGGGTTCTCACCCAGGGTCCAAACATACTCTCAGCCCACCCACAAAAGTCTCACCATGAGAAGAGTTCCTGGAAACATCAGGCATCAACCTAGTCTCTCACTCTAGACTTGCTTTTTATGGGCAGACATCAAGGTGGATACTAATTCTTCAGGCTGCCCACAGCTGTGTCCCATTCAGCTGCACTCTCCACACACAGTACAGCAGGTTTGTTGAGTTTTCCAGTGGGTCAAGGGGATGGGGAAAGGGCCCTTCTCTACTCGCAGCTCTTTCTTCACCCTTTGTCCTCTCCTCCTCCTCCAGCTGCTGGCCATGCTGGCTGAGGCTGATGGCAGCCAGTAGTCCAACAACATCTGGAGGGAACCACATTGACTACCCTTGTATTACACACTCAATCCATGTGGGTGCTGACCAGGCTTGCCGGACCCTACCATTCCTTTGTGTGAAATGAGACGATATCTTAGGGCATGTCCCACACCCATGCAGCTGTGCATTTCAGAGGCCAGTATTTATTCTGCCCTGTACTGCCCTGCCTTAGGTCAGAGCTTCTATGTGGCCCTGAATGGCATCCTAGTCTGTTCTTGTTCTTTGGAGACAACCAGTCCCTGCAGGCTTCCTTTTAGGTCTGAGAAGAGATGCATTACTTCCAGGGAGCCTGAGATAACACAAAGCAATCATGTACTCAGTATGTGACATTATTTACTAGCTGTTGTTGCATTGCAATTTTGCTCGGTTCAGAATTCACATTGTTAACCTCCTGTGCATTGTGTTTCATACAACTAAGGAATGCATTTCATTTTCATAAATGGGGAATAGACTGGGGAGTGTTGCTTTTTAAACGATGGAATGCATTTTGAATTAGACTGTGAGAGGAAGGTGATGCACGTGAAAAGCTGGGAGAAAGCCACACAGCACGGCTGGAGGTGCTGGTTCACAGGAGGTTAAAGGATTGGCATCTGCGCTTCCCTGTGGTGGTGGTTGTTGCAAAATGCCAATTACATAATGAGCAGGAGAAAAGCAAACGATCTAATCGCCTATTAAAATATTTCCAAGCGGTGAAATTAATACAATTCCCTCCTCATAATTTACTTGCTCCTGTACAAAAATTAACATAGATAAATAAATTTTAAAAAGGAAGAGAAATATATTTTCCATTAAAATGTGATAATGGCTGCATGACGATGCTCCAGCACATGAATCTGGTTTTATTAATTCACCTCCGTGTAATTGACAACATTCAGCCTTTGGCTTTCTACTGAGCAACATAGCAGCCCAGAATTAAAATAGATGTGGTACTCATGGGCTGGATCTAGACATATCAAAGATGCATTTCAGTTTAAAGCATTGTAAATTTAAACAGGGAAAACAGGCAGAGAAAAATGGGGCTCCACATCGCCATCTCGTGGCACAATGTTATATCGCATATACAACACATATAAATTGGTTTTTCTTTACCAGTCTAGCTGAGTCCATAGCTTCTTCAAACCACCTGGCAAAAAGAGAGAGCCAGTAAGTCAGTCAGTCACTCCAGGGATCTACATGCCTTTCCTCCTTGGCCAAACCCCTCAGCCTGATCTCAGCCAAAGAACCATTACCATATCCTTTCTTTCTGTTGCATTATTCATATTCAGTCTTTTCACAAAGGACAAGGAAACAACCATCACCTGGAGATTGGGGGCATCGTCTGAAATAAGTGACCCCATTTCCAGCCATGTCACAACAATGCTGCTCTGGGAAAGTGAGATGTGCCACTCGGCTGCCACAACCTAATTGTTCCTTTGATGTGGCAGAACATGGCCAAGGAATGACTTGGAAGCTCTGCTCAGAGAGACCCCCAAATGGCACCCGCCAGATGTAAAGGGCCAAAAATAATAATTGGTATTTGCTTCTGTCTCTTAATGCAGCATTTTCTGCCTTAGCTTGTCTCCTGCTCTGTCCTCCAAGGCTCATGAGGAATGAGGAGGATGTGCTTTCCCCAAGCTTGGGCAGCAGAAACCTGTGGTAATGTCTAAAGTGAGATGAGAGCCACAGGGTGTGGCCTGAGTCATTGGGTTTCGGGGTGTGTGTGATACCTTCCCAGCTTGACGAGCTCTATCTGCCCCTCACTTCCCTCCACAGCACATGCAGAAACCACCTTCTTGACTGTGGGACCCACTATTGGTCTTGTCCTCTCAACCTGCCGGAACGTGTCTTCACATGCAGGGTAAGTCCCAGCCCAGTGAGACTCATCTGTTACCTTCACCCGTTTAAACAGGCCAGTCAAAGCCATTTCCTGGAGTCTGGCTGCCGTTGCATGCTGACAGCTTCTGGGAGCCACAGGTGAGAACTGAGTGCAGGGTGGGGGCTAAAGGTAGACAGACTACCCCAGAAGGAGCATGACATGTCCCCCACAAGAGATACCACCCCTCCCCTAACACCCCATACACCCCGACAGGATACTTCAGTTCAGAATTTACCACTATAGCACTGTTGTGGAGTGATGGATTGTGGCACCTCAGTGGTGTTGCAGCAGTATATAAAAGGCTGCAATGTGGAATCTTTTTATTCAATGTATTATAAATTATACTAAAAAGAAACAGTCGCTGAGTTTTGCAATACACATGTTAAAATTTAATTATCTAATTAATCAAGCATTTAAAAGCCAGATCAATCGATAGACCCATCCAACTGTCAGTGTGCTGCATTTCAGTTTTTTGTATTCCTTGTAATGTTTTCTGCTGTTTCTCCTGCCTGAAATCTGAACTGCTCAGTGGTTCTGTGCCTTGCTAAAATTACAAATAGACACTCTCCTTTAGAAGGGTGGCACTGAGTAGGAAGCACTCTTTCCCCCATCAAATGTTTTCCACAATTCTATCTAGCCTTAAGCAAATGAAAAACAACTAATTTTCTTATTACCATAAATAATGAATAGCAAAATGCACTCCCACATGAAGAATGAAATGTCGATAAGGTCTTTTCTGACAGCCTTATGAAGTCTGGAGTATTCACTCTTCTTTCTTAAGAACATAAACATTGCCCAGGTACCACAAGACCACTGTAAATTGTCTTGTATCCATCTGTGAATCATGACTTACTTGTCAATGATATTTCATGATATGAATATTCTTAGGACCAGTTACTAGGTATTTAAGCCGTTTCTGTTTAAGCTCTTACGCCCAGGCTGTATGTCACAGGGGTAAGATATATGATGGCCAGTCATGTGAAAGGTCCTACACCAGCTTGGTATCTATCTCATTTGGGAACTCTGAAGACCATGTGCAGTGTTCTAAGTTACCCCCTCTTGCATACATTTACTACAGTAAAGAGGAACCTGGTCACATGCAAGTGGCTTTTCAGTAGCAACCATCTTGCCAAAGTGTGTGTCTTAATTGACCCTGAGGACAGGGGGCTTGTACAATAGAGTTCAGAGCAAATAATTTCAGGGGCCATATAGCATTTCCCTGGCACTACTTTGCATTTCCTGCTTCAGGATGAAACCTCTTAGGAATCACAGAACATTGCCCTGTTTCCCCAAAATAAATATTCTTCAGCCCTGTAGCACATTTCTGCAGCAAATTCTGCCAGGTGCTGCATAACATGACCGGCTGCAAATGGCCACACTGCAGCCATCTTGCATTCCCTACTGTGATGGCATCTGGGAACTGCATTGCTGATAAGGAATGCATGGGGTGTGTGCTGGCGTGTGTTTGGAAACACACAAATAAACAGTTATGGCTAAACAGTGATTTAATTCTGTCTGAAGGTCCTTCATGTAACTGTTTCATCAACGTTCCTCACACATGACTGAGAAGAACTGAATATGCAGGGCCCCAGCACCCTCTTCCTAAACTAGCCAGAAATAGTCCCA